CTGAATTAGAATCTTCTTAGGTGGGGCATGGGAATCTGTATTTTAAACAGAGGTCTCAGGTGATTCTTATACACTGAAGTTTGAAAAACACTCGCATATAGAACAAAGTTACTTTAATCAACATACAAGGCCCTCCAAGATATTTGAGCCCAGTTAACTTCTTCAGTCTCAGCTGTCTGTATATTCTGCCCAGTTCTCACTCTTTAATCCTTCAAGTGCTCTAACCACAAAATATAAGACACTCTTTTTTTAGTGTGCAAGCATTATACTCCTTTACCTTCTTCCCTTTGTTTCTCCAACTCTACCCCTCCTAGTTTGCAAGACGCTTGAAGTCAATGCTCATGTCACGTTTTTTTATTTTTAAGTACTTCATGTTTTTATTTTTTATTTTTAAGTACTGGCAAAGTACTGGCACACAATGGATGCTCAGTAAATATTTGTGGAAAGGTAGAAAACAGTACTTTGAAATATTACAGACTAAACAAGTGACTGAAATTAAGAGACAGTCTTCTATTTATAGTGACTCAAGTTGCTTAAGCAAAATAAAAATAAAATCAAAATTAGTGCGAGAAAGAGGGAATGTAGGCATTTTGGTCACAATTTGTGGTATCCTTAATGGTTTTAACATAGTGATTTTTTTTTTTTTTTTAAGGGAGGTAGGTGGGGCAAGTTACCCCTTTGAGAACCACTATATTAGAGGTAATAAGAACTCATTTTCAATGCACATGAGTTTTATGGAGACACAAGTGAAACCTGACCTTTAACAGGTAAAACATTATTTTGTCTTGTTTCACCTCAAAATGTAATCTTTTCATTCAGAATACATGCATTAATTTGAGGTTTCTGACATACTTCAAATTAAAAGCAATAGGAATGGACTAGGAATTTCCCAAGGACAAATGGGTAAAAGTTGAAGGTGGGCAGTAGGTGAAGGAAGCGTGCTTAGATTGTATGTGAGTATAAAATTTTAGTGTTCTTTTCAGAAATCCAGGGACATTTTTTGGCATACCATGTGTGTGACAAAGTTTGCTTGAAGTAGAAACAAATGAACCATGAACAATGATAGCCATATTTAAGGGCAAGATTGTTATGAATGTTCTTGATATGGAAATTTCAGTGTGACTTTATATTCCAGACACTATATAGTGATGTTGACCTAGTACTGTCATTGCTTTAGGGATGGGGGTGATATGGCATGTAACTGAGGAAAAAAATATTTTATGAATGCTTTGTTTTTAGGTATTGGTACTTAGGTTTTTATAACTCTAAGAGTTCCTGGTATTGTTCATATTTTGCTATTTGGAGCCCACAGATTCATACTTGAACAAGCATGAATGAATTTGAAAGTTTAGATTCTAAAACCTTTCATGGCAGATGGCCTGGGTGGTAAGAGAATGTATATGAATACAAACTACTTTTCTATTATAGCTTCATGTCTCTTTGCCAAGTTTGAGAAAAATAACTGGGGGAAAAAATGAGGCCCTGTTTTCAATCATATGGCACATTGCAATATTCTGCCTTTATTTATCAGGACTCATCAGAAATGCAATTCAAATTAAGTCAAAAAGATCATTTTGTAGGTTTATGAACTGGGAAGTTCACAGAGTAAAAAGCTAAAGGTAGGTTCTGACATGACTATTTAGAAGTTTGACTTGTGTCATCAGGAATGTCTTCTTATCTTCACCTTTAAACATTCCTTTCATCTTTTGGTTTCCTTCTTCGGCAGATATGATGGTAAAGATGATTAGTGGCAGCTCTAGATTTATGTGATTCTTAAAATCCACATGTCTCTTTTTCTTGTAGTAGACCAGCCCAATTTGGTGTATGGAAGGACTCATTGGCCAGGCTTGGGTCTTGTGGCCTATCTCCGAACCAGTCCTCAAGGCCTGTGGAGGGTGATTCTCTGACCCAACCTGGGGTGGGAGTGGGGGGGTACTTGGTTTTGGAGAGAGACTTTAAGGAAGGGCAGATTAATTCTTGAAAAGCAAATTGGATGCTATTACCTAAGAAAGGGAGATGGATGCTGGTTAGGCAAAATCTATAAATGTTCCATATATGAAGAAATCGACTGATTTGGATCAGGTTATGAGTTGTATTATATCCCTCCAAAAGATATGCTGAAGTCCTAACCCCAGGTACCTGTGGTAGCTTTATTTGGAAATAGGGTCTTTGCAGTTGTAATGAAGTTAAAATGAGGTCCATACTAGATATGGGGCCCTAATCCAATAACTGGTGTCCTTATAGGAAGAGGGAAATTTGAATACAGACAGGGAAGACAGCTATGTGAAGACAGAGGCAGAGATTGGAGATACACTGCCACAAGCCAAGGAATGCCAAGAATTGCTAACAATCACCAGAAGCTACAAAGAAGCAAGGAAGGATTCCTCCTTAGAGCCTTTAGAGCAGGGGTGAGGAACCTGTTTTCTGCCAAGGGCCGTTTGGATATTTATAACATCATTCGGGGACCTTACAAAATTATCAACTTAAAAATTAACCTGGCTGGGCTGGCGTGGCTCAGTGGTTGAGTGTTGACCTATGAACCAGCAGGTCACGGTTTGGATTCCTGGTTAGGACACATTCCCAGGTTGCCGGCTCGATCTCCAGTGTGGGGCATGCAGGAGGCAGCCAATCAATGATTCTCTCTCATCATTGATGTTTCTCTCTCTCTCCCTTTCCCTTCCTCTCTGAAAAAAAAAAAAAAAACAAATTTTTTTAAAGTTAGCCTGCTATATTTGGTCAAACATTTAATTTACTCCAAATGCCTTGGCAGGGCCAACCAAATGATTTTGCGGGCCTTTTGCGGCCTGCGGTTGCATGTTCCCCACCCCTGCTTTAGAGGGAGCATGGCTCTGCCAGTGCCTTAATTTCTGCTTTCTAATATCCAGAACTGCGAGCAAATACATTTCTGTTGTTTTAAGCCACCTAGTTAGTGGTACTATGTTACAATAGTTCTAGGAAACTAATACAGGCCATGTGCGGTACATATAAAATTTATTTTTTTATTCCATTTATCTTCTTAAAATAAAATCCTGACCATAAAATTTCCCAATAAATATCTTTTGCATTTTAAATAGATTTTGTAGGGGTTTGGGATGACTTTGGAATTTATGGGTTTGGCATTTAAAAATACAGCATGGGACAAAAGTAGGTTTACAGTTGTGACTATGCGAAACACAGTTTACTCTTGCATTATTAGTTATTAAATATTGTATTATTTTTCATATGAACAACTGTAAACCTACTTTTACTCCACCCTGTATATACTATTTGGTTAAAATTTTCCCCTAGCCATAATAATTTGACATGAAATTGTATGATTGATTATATTTATCGCATTCTACGTTTTAGAGTTTGTAGTTATAGTTTAACTCAGTGGTTCTCAACCTTCCTAATGCCGTGACCCTTTAATACAGTTCCTCATGTTGTGGTGACCCCCAGTTTCATTGTTATAAATTGAACATAATTAAAGCATAGTGATTAATCACCAAAACAATATGTAAATATATATGTGTTTTCCGATGGTCTTAGGTGACCCCTGTGAAAGGGTCGTTCGACCCCCAATGGGGTCGCAACCCACAGGTTGAGACTGTTGAACTGAAGTCATGGTCCTGGATGAACAATTGAATATTATTTCTCAATGTGTTTGATTCCCAAATAGCACAGTGCCATGTGAGAATCAGTGGTAAAATAAAGTGAAACACCCAGAGTAAATATATTCCAACAGCCTGAATATAAAATAAAAATATGTCTAGGGCAATTGGTTATTAAGGTGGGAAAAATTAGTATTTTGGTGAGACTAACCAAAAATAAGAGTAGCTTGAACAGTATTTCTGGGTTCTTATTCATTTTCTACAAACTGAGTCAGTTAATATTTACAAGGTTTGGTTAAAATTCGAAAAAATATGATCTTATGAATATTCTTCTAGTTTCTAATTTTATAGGAAGTGGATATTTTCTATAGGCACTATAATTCTTACTCAGAACCTTTGTAGTAGAGGAAATTTTGTTTTTAAGAAGCTTAAGAATTTATTGGAAAATAGTTTGGGGGACCTATGCCAGCACTTTAAAATACATATACCCCCCCATTTTCACTAGAGTGAAATAGGAACAGTAAAGAAAATGTCATCTTGAATTAGTAATGATAAAAGCAATACTGTTCTCATTATAAATATTTTTATAGGAGTTCTTTTATTTTTTATTTTTAAAAAATAAAGATTATTCAGAGAGGAAGGGAGTGGGAAAGAGAGATAGAAACATCAGTGATGAGAGAGAATCATTGATTGGTTGCCTCCTGCACCCCCCACACTGGAGATCAAGCTCACAACCTGGGAATGTGGACTGACCAGGAATCGAACTGTGACCTCCTGGTTCATAGGTTGAGGTTCAACCCCTGAGCCACACCAGTCGGGTGCTAATAGTGCCTTTAAAAAAAAAATTAGTAATATTTTTTCAGTTTAAAACTCAAAATTAATCTGAAAAATAAAATAAAACAAAATTATATTTAAGTATACAATGAGAAGTCTTGCTTCCACCCTTGCCCCTTCTGCTCTAGTTTTACTTTTCATCCTGTAACCACTTTTATTATGTATTCTTTCAGTGTTTCTTTATGAAAATAAAAGCAAATGTTAATATTTTTCTTACTTTTCCCTCCATTTCATACATACTAGTAGAACAATACATAGAAATAACTTTGTTCTTTACCTTGCATTTTTCACTTAATATACCTTAGCTATCTTTCCATATCAGTATATAGAGGACAGTCTCAGTTTTTCACAAGTGCATTGCATTCCATTGTGTGGATAGACTAATATATTTAGCTAGGTGGTTATTGAATATCTGAGTTGTTTTCACTTTTCACTATCACTAATTGTGTTGTCATGAATAATATTGTACATAAATTATTTTTTAAAAATACGTCTTTATTGATTTGAGAGAAAGAGATGGAAACATTGATTTATCAACATCTCTTATCTGCTGCCTCCTGGACATCCCTGTTAGGGATTAAGCCCACAACTCGGGCATGTGCCCTGACTGAGAATCGAACCGGTGACCTTTTGATGTATGGGACAGTGCTCAACCAACTGAGCTGTTATACCAGCCAGGCCGAGCATGGTTTTTATTAGCATTTCCTAGGAGTGAGGTTGAGCTTCTTATTTTTAAGGCCATTTCTGTATATGATCTTGAATTGACTTCCTGCAGTGATGATTATGATACACTAGAGGCCCAGTGTATGAAATTCGTGCACGGGTAGGGTCCCTAGGCTTGGCCAGCGATCAGGGCCTTCCTTCCCTGGCTGCCTACCGCAGGCCAGGGCCTTCGTTTGTTCTGAACTGCCCGCTGGTGGTCAGCACACATCATAGCAAGCGATCAAACTCCCCGTCTCCCAATTGAACTCCCCGAGGGGACCCTTTGTATATTAGCCATATATATAGCCAGTGGTGAAAATAATGTTTTAATAGGGGAGGAAAGGCAGGATATGATTGTTATTAGAAAAAGGACTTTTGGATTCTCTTTTTCCTATTTATGAATTTTCACATATTCAGAATTTATTCGTATAGAATGGATTCTGAAAGTTCATTTGTTTTGTTACTCTTTTGGAGGCCTGCAGTGTGTGATTGATACAGTCAAGGCATCCAGGCCTTTCTGCCCTCATGCCTTTTCCACCTTTTTCAAGAAAGCATAGATTGTTATGCATTCTCTTTGAACTGCTTCAAAGGATTGTAAACATTGCTCAAATTTTGCCCAAAGGCCTGGTCATATATTTACTAGATATTTGCTAAACTAGTCTTTAGTTAGTATAAGTTGATTTCTATAAATGTTTTTGCTTTCATTTAGCATGTTCTACAAAATGCTAGACACTTTATTTCATGATGCTGTTTTTTGTCTCCAACTTACCTGTTGTGTCTGTTCTTTTTGGCACTTTTTGTGTCAGTAAGCATTCTGTTTAGTGAAGGTTGGGAGAACTGTTTTGAGCTTTTTGGTAGTAATGTCAGTTTGTTTGCATTCTGAACTAAAACCCCTCTCCTTAAGAGGGTAGAAACTAATGACTCAGAGGACAATGCTTTATACAGCTATTAATGCCATTAAATATTGTGTTGGCAATAGTTTGTGAACATTATTGTTTAATTTCTTAAAATTTCATATTGTGGGAACTACAGGAGAAGCATATAGTAAAATACTCACCGGAGAATAAAGATAAAAGTAAGTGTGCCTAGTTGAAAGAACAACAGGCAGAATGAGGGTAGAAACTAATGACTCAGAGGACAATGCTATATTCTGAAAGCCAAGTTGACAAGGAAGTAGATACCCAGTGACTCATAAATACAGAACCAAAATGTTCTCTGTCAAATGTAATGGATTTTTCAAGCAAGAACAACCTCTTTGCTTTCGGGACAGTCTTTATTTGGATGGTTTGGCTGACTTGCATTTTAATTTTTTCATTGAGCCAAATGTTCTGTGAGTATTTAGGCTAGCTACCCAGCACTATGCTAGATGCAGGGATACAGTGATGTGGATGCATAGCAGACTGTTCCTGCTTGCATGACACTTAGATTCTAATGAGAGAAATAGAGACATTAATCACATGAGGAACCTATAACTACAGAATGAAATAAGAACTCTGAAAGGAGACATTGTTCTCTCTGTGTGTAATTGTGTTTGTGGTGGGAGCAGATTGGAGTAATAGAAATTCAGAAGCATTTCTAAGAGAAATTTTCATTTGAGAGGTGCAGGATAAATGAGAGTTAATCAAGGGAAGGTAGAGGAGAAGAATGGTAGGTGGAGAGGATTTTTCCAGGCAGGGTATCAGAATATGTTTTCAGAAGACAGAAGAATAAAAATTAGACCTTGGTTTCTCTTTTAGAGCTCTGGTTTATGTAAATATTTATATTTCTTTTCCAATACTTGGTGATATTTAAACATGCTTAACTAGGCCCAGTTTAACTGTGGAATATTCTTGCACTTTTTTTTTTTTTTAATTAGGGAAACTGATATGTGTGAAAATTTGAGGCAAGGGGAGCGCTGAATGAGTTTATTATTAAGATGTTATGGGAAGAAAAGACAGTGTACTCAGGCACCAGGTATTTCTGTAAATGAACAGCTGTGCTATCACTCCCATTGGGGAAGCATGAAGGCATTCTTTGGCAGGCTTATTTATTTATTTATTTATTTATTTATATTTTTATTGATTTCAGAGAGGAAGGGAGAGGGAGAGAGAAATGGAAACATCAGTGATGAGAGAAAATCATCAATCGGCTGCCTCCTGCAAGCCCCCCCTGGGGTTTGAGCTTGCAACTTGGGCTTGTGCCCTGATTGGGAATCCAGCTGTGACCTCCTGGTTCCTAGGTCAGCGCTCAACACTGACCCACACTAGCCAGGCTGACAGGTGCTTTTTGTTCATACCCTCTTTTCTTTCTAAATTCAAATAGGAATGTGTTTTTTTAACCACCTTTCTTGTTGTGATATAATTAAAATGTACTGTTCTTAATTTTGACAACTGTATGCACCCCTGTGACCTCTACCCAAAACAAGATATGGAACATTTCCAGCCTCCTAGAAAGTTCATTCATGTCCTTTTCCAGCCAATTTCCCACCACCACAATAACTAATTTTATCACTATACATTAGTATTGCCTGCATCTGGATTTCATATAAAAGGAGTCATACAGTTTGTACTCTTCTGTGTCTGGTTTCTTTTGCTTAAACATAGTATTTATGTGTATTGTTACATTAATAGTTCATTCCTTTTTTTTTAAAAAATATATTTTATTGATTATTTACAGAAAGAAAGGGAGAAGGATAGAGAGTTAGAAACATTGATGAGAGAGAAACATCAATTCAGCTGCCTCCTGCACACTCCCCACTGGGGATGTGCCCGCAACCAAGGTATATGCCCTTGATCAGAATCGAACCCGGGACCTTTCAGTCCGCAGGCCGACGCTCTATCCACTGAGCCAAACCAGTTAGGGCGGTTCATTCCTTTTTTAAGTGGATTTATTGAGATATAATTCATATAGCAAACAATTAGCCTAGGTAAAGCAAATAGTTCAGTAATTTTTACTGTATTCAGAGTTATGCCACCATTACCATTCAGATTTTAGAACATTTTTATCGCCCCAATGGGTATCATATTCAGTTTACAGATGAGAAACCATTCCCATTAGCAGCTCCTCCTTATTCTGTTCCCTTCTCTTTCCCCACTCCAGCCATAGACAATTACTAACTTACTTTGTCTCTATAGATTTGTCTATTCTGGACATAAGTTTATTCTTTTTTTTCCCTTTTAGTAAAAGGCGAAAGATTTATGCGATCTGAAGAGAAACCAGAGTTTTTTTTCCCCTTTTAAAAATAATTTTTAAGAATTAGAAATGTCATCATTTTGCACTCACAGTTCTATGGATTATGGATCCAGGCAGATTATTATTGTAGGCTAAAATTATTAGGTGAAAGGTGACAAGTGACTTTATCATGGTGGGACTGACTTAATATCCTGAATTCACTGATCAATTTTCACATCATTAAAAGTAGACAGACATCATGCCTCTTAATTTTATGAAATAGCATTCTACCCACACAAAAAAATTTAACCCAAAACTAATCAAGAAAAGTAATAGGGCCGATAGATTATGTATATAGGCTATATTGAGAGGACTTTGGCTTTTTGGTGTGAGTGTGAATAGTGGTATGGGTGTGGAATATGTTTCCAATGATCCATTTCCCCTGTAGTTTATCTAATTCTTTGAGGAAAGCTCAGCTGCACTTTAATATGTTTTCACTGCCTTTTTTTTTCTTAGAGAGAGAGAGAGAAAAGGAGAGGGAGAGAGAGAGAAATATTGATGAGAGAGAAACATCAACATGGATTGGCTGTCACGGGAATTAAACCAGTGACCTCTTGGTGCATGGTTCCATGCTCAACCCATTGAGCCACAACAGCTGGGCTCAGCTGCACTTTATTTTTCTTTTAAATATATTTTTATTGATTTCAGAGAGGAAGGGAGAGGAGAGGGAAAGAGATAGAAACATCAGTGATGAGAGAGAATCATTGATCGGCTGCCTCCTACACGGCCACTATTGGGAATCAAGCCCACAACCCGGGCATGTGCCCTGACTGGAAATTGAACCGTGGTCTCCTGGTTCATAGGTCGATGCTGAACCACTGAGCCACGCCTGCCGGGCTCAGCTGCACTTTAGGCAGTTAAACCTTTCTTCTTTTAAAAGACTTTTTTTTTTTTTCTTTTAGGCACGTTAAAGTTCACTGCAGAGTTGAGGGGAAGGTGGGACTTTGGCTTTACTATGAAAAAATCAGGAGCATAATAGGCTTTTGAGCAGGAGAGTGAGGTGATGATCTGGCTTAGTTTTAACAAACTAACTGGCTGCTCTGTTGAGAATAGGCTGGGAGTAAGAGGAGCAGGGTATTAGCACAAATACCAAGTTGGAAGCTGTTGCATTAGTCCAGGTGAGAGGTGAAGGTTGCTTGAACTGGGTACTAGTAAGTAGAGGAAGGGGGAAGTGGTTTGGACTGTGACTATTTTAGATTGGTAGAAGACTGTGTAGGATTGGTAGATCCAACATAATATCCTGAGGGATTAATGTGGGGAGTTAGAGAAAGGAAATGAAAACTCTAAAGTTTTTAGTTTAAACAGCTCAAAGTACAGAGTTAGTTACCTTTACCCAAGATGGGAGAGACTGTGAGAGGAGCTGCTTTGGAGAAGATAAAGAATTCAGTTTTGGTATTTTCCACATAGTAGGTACTCATTGTGACTATAGTGCTGCTGAATGTTAAGAACCAAGGATACGAGACAACTGCCCTGAGAAGAACTTTCATTGTCAGGCTCACATTGTTTATTAATTGTGTGAGTTCTCACTTCATCAGCTTGATGTTTCTATGTTGTTTGTATGTCCTGTTTTTCTTTCTTTTTTTAAAAAAGAAGTATTTTTATTGATTTCAGAGAGGAAGAAAGAGGGAGAGAGATAGGAACATCAATGATGAGAGAGAATCATTGATTGGCTGCCTCCTGCACGCCCCCTACTGGGGATCGAGCCCACAACCTTGTCATGAATTGAACATGGGACCCTTCAGTCTGCAGGTCAACGCTCTGTTCACTGAGCCAAACTGGCTAAGGCTGTTTTTCCATTTAAGATATGTATATAGTACCTGCTTTATGCCAGGAACTGTTTTATCTAATTTTTCACATACTAACTTATTTAATCCTTATAAAAACCTTATAAGTATATTATTATCATGCATGTTTTACAGATTAGGCACTGAAAACTTAAGGAATTTGCCCAAGGTCACATAGCTAGTGAAAGTAGAATTAGGACTCATATCCACAAACTTTGGTTCCAAAATTTGTGTTCTAAACTGCTATGCGATGGTGCTTTCCTTTTTATTATCCCCCATTGATTTATTGTAGTCATAAATGAAGAGAGAGGATTCAAGCAAAGGTCCAGAAGCTTATTTCAAGGCATTTACACATAGAGGTTGTCTGTAGCTTTAAAAGTTATGGTTATTTTCATATTATAAAATAAAGTGAGGAAAATAAAATCATAGGTGCTAATACAAAAGCCCTAGAAATTATATTTCGAGGTGCTCTTAACTTAGGGTTTTTTGTGAGACCTTCTGGAATGTAATGGTTATCTAAGTTGGAAAATATCAATACTACATCTTTATGATTCTGTTTACATGTCTGCTATGTTGCAAAAAGTATTGGTTTGGGATTTATGGACTGATGATCTTTGAGATACTCCATATATTCTATTTAATATTGCTTGAGCTGCTTGACTGTTAATGTTGAAAATCCTTAAGGAGTTGGCTGGCCTTTTTGCATTCAGGTATTGGTTTTGCTCCATTTGGCTTAAATTGTCATTGCCCCACAAGGCAGGGTAGCTTTTTAATTCAGAGTCCTCTTCAATAATCTGTGACCTTTACAGCTGTCATTTTGAAATGATATATCTTGTAAAGTGTTTTAATCATTTGTTTTTCCCTGAGGATATAATTAGACTGTACAAGGTGACTATGATAGTGGCTGGTCTTCAAGCATTGAGAAAATATATTTTAAAGATAACTTTTTTTTAGGTTATCAATATTCTTGGTGAAGACCACCACAGTGTAGCACAACACTATTTCTACTTCTCTTTGTTGGTGTTTGTGAGTCATCAACACAATTCTTTAAAAAAGCTCACAGCTTTTTCTGTTGGAGATAGATAAGATGCAACTGTTGGTATTTGTTGTACTGAATGCAGGTGAAAATTAGTTGTCCCAAAGATCATATATAACAAATACTATTCCAGATATATAAGAGAGAAGTAAATTTATGACAAACAAGGATGCTTAATTCTCTCATGGAACCTACTTGAGAAAGGCTGGGCTCTAGTCTGTTTTTGTAAGTCCCAAGAGCTAAAAATATATATTTTTTTTGTAAAAGGTTGTGTTTTTTTTTGTTTTTTTTTAAAGGCAGGGCAAGAGGCTGTATATGGCCTGCAACACCTAAAATATTTACTGTCTGGACTTTTACAGAAAAGGTTTGTCCAACTCTCTTAAGAGGAGAATACCCAAATTTGAAACCCAGCTTCTCTTTTTTGTACCTGTTTGATTCAGTATCTGACTGTAAATGGGGCATAGTAATAGTACCTATCCCAGAATTATTGTGAAGATTACATATAATAATGTCAAGTTTTACGATATAGCTTAATGAATGTTATCACAGTATATTTAATATGCAAAATAAGTGATTATGGTATTTACACGTGCTGTTATGTATATGGTATGTAGCATATATCGTCTGTTCTGTTGTGATGTGAAGCAGTGTCATTTCAATTGAGAATACTAGCTAGTATTCATAGTACCATAATTTATGGACTCTTATTAGAGTGGGAAGGTACTCTTAAAAACGAATTTGTTACCCATTAAATGTTAGCGCATTTTAGTGTTTGGTAAATCATTTCTCAAGGTAGTCTCTCTTTTTCTCTTTCTCTTTCTCTTTGAATAGCACTAATTTGATTATTTTTGTTTTGTGTACTGACGTTGTCTTCCTATAGAGTTTTCTCTTACTGAGTTTTGATGTCCTAGAGAAGCAGTTCT